AATTAAATTTTCTTAAAACTTTTTGCGCTGAGGAAGTTTATACACACTATCTATGATCTGTTACTTACAACTTACACACAGCCAAACAACACAAATTTAACGCAAACTTGAACACCTGTAAATTGGCACAGCTAGTGTTGTTGTTGTTGTTGTTGCTGCTGCTGTTACTAACTCTATTAACGCTCAGTTTCCGCCAGCGCCACACCGTAAGAGGACTTTACAGCGGTCTGTGGCTTTCCGATACGCCATTACATGTACAGACATATATACGTGTATGTATACATATACATACAATACATACATACATAGCTAACCAACCAAACGTTTATTGCTTCCAAATAGTTGGCATACCAAACAAAAATATGACGTTAATATGTGAAAGCTAATAAACAGTAGCAACAATAACAACAACAACCACCACCACCAATAACAAGAAATTAAGAAAACCAGCAAAACAGCAAATTGGCCACTATTATACACGGCAAGCTTAAGACAGTAATGGGCAAGCAACAACTGGCTAACTGCTAATCGTCCGGACGCCGGTAATTGTTGCCAATACATACATGCATACATATACGTACGTACCAAAAGACAATGAAAGAAAAAACAGCAGTTGAAGTGAAGCGGCGCTGCAAGCCAAGCCAAGCCAAGAGATAGTAAACGAAAAGAAACAAAACAAGGAATGTAGAATTTTAAAGAAAAAAAAAGTTGGAAAAGTGAAAAAGTTACAACAAAACGTTTATGGCTGCCAATTCGTACCGAGTTTCTGCTGCGACCACACACATCATGCCCGGGGGGTAGTAGCACATAATTTGTGCGTGTGTATGTATTATTGTATATATGTGTAAGTGCACAGGTGGAGCTGCTTGCATGCACTTTGCTACAATTTCACTGAAAGTTTCCACAACTATCTATGTACATACATATGTATCACTCTGCTGCCAACAAGTTAGTCCAACCAACCATCGATACATCTATGCGTGCTCTTATAAGCCACTGATAGAAAACCAGTAAGCACAAGCATATTTACTTATATACATACATACATACATACATATACATATGTATAACATATGTTTATTTTAATGCTCTGCCAGCTTAGTAGTAGTAGTATGTGTGTGCACATTCAAGCTTCACTTCTCCGCCTACCCTCTGTGCCGTCCATGGCCGTCATACGATACTACCCATACAGCTAGCTAGTCAGTCAGCCATCAAGCCAACTTCATTCAGCTAGTGATTATGTTTTGTTAATGAACTTGTTCCGAGTTCTGATGAGTTTTTCGACATTACTTTGTTTCTAAGGCAATTTCACTTGATCATTCAATCTCGGTCTAATTATGAGCCAACAAAGTGTTTTTGCTTTGTTTTTTTTTTTTATATAAAATTCACAATAATGGTGGTTTGAGGTGTGTGTGTGTGTGTGTGTAGAGAGAGAGAGAGAGAGTGAGGGATTAAAAAATTATGGATACTGAAGAAAAAGTNAAAAAAAAAAAAAAAAAAAAAAAAAAAAAAAAAAAAAAAAAAAAAAAAAATAAAACAATTTAGAGCTGTCTTTTGTCATGCTCAAGTCTGTATGTAGAATACCAAATCTAATGCTCATCCGAGGGTTTTCTGACCCAAAACCTCCCTTCTGAACAAATCGGCTGTATGGGAACTATATGATATATTACTCCGATTTCGATCCTTTTTAGAACCAATGTGTATTTCGTTATATGTTTGCAGAATAACAAATTTCACACTCTCAGATGCTCTTTTGACGCACTTTTAACTAAAAACCTCCCTTCGGAACAAATCGGCTGAATGGGAACTATATGATATATTACTCCGATTTCGATCATTTTTAGAACCAATGTGTATTTCGTTATATGTTTGCAGAATAACAAATTTCAAACTCTTAGATGCTCTTTTGACGCACTTTTAACCAAAAACCTCCCTTCTGAACAAATCGGCTGTATGGGAACTATATGATATAGTACTATAGTACTTGGAGAATTAAAGTCAACAGTGTATACAAGTAACATTCGCTCTTCAATCTTGATTTTTGAAATATATCTTAGGTTCTGAACAGAAAATTCAAACAAAAAAATGTTAAAAACAAAAAATCACTGCTGAATTAAAAAAAAAATAAAAAAGAGTCCAATAAACTCCATCAACAAGCACTCATCTCCTGCAAACCACCTCATCAACGATCGCTTAGGTCGAAAAAAAAAAAAAAAAAAAAAAAAAAAAAAAAAATAAAAAAAAAATAAATAAAAAAATGTTGTAGAAACTTTAAGCACAAAAAAGTTATGTTGAATATGGAAAATTCAGTCCGAAAGGGAATAAAAAAAAAAAAAAAAAAAAAAAAATGAAAATTGACATTAGAAAACGTTCAATGTGAACACATTCAATGCAAAATGTTAAAAACAATCAATGTCAATCAAACTGACAACTGCGGGCCAACAAGTCAGCTGATTATCGTCAAAATGCTCTACTCTACAAAATGGTATTATGCGAAGGGTGAAAGCGTAGCCACCGCACCAGCCAACGCACGGTTAGCCGGTTAGACGCCATTATGCTTTATGATGCCAGCGATAATATGCGTGGAGGTATTTGTGATACATATATATACTTATGTACATACATACATATCTACTTAAGGAAACGAGCAATAAGTTGTATGTCAAACCAAAGTGCTGCATTATTTATTAAATATGTGCATAATCGCAGACAGCCCAGCCCGCGTCTGTAAGTAAGGCACTTAAATTTGCTTTTTGTTAGAAGTGTCTGACAAATAAATAAATATTTATTAAGTATGTAACGCTTTGAAAAAGTTGCGAATAAAAAGGGTTAATAACCGAGGTGTTGAGTTTATTGGGAAAATATCTAAAATAATAATTAAATAATAAAAAATAAATAAAATTAAAAAAAAATTACAAAAAAAAAATAAATACATAAAAGATGATAAAATAAGATATATTACTTTTAAGAAAATATATAAAACATGTAATTTATAATAATTAAAAAATAAAACAATCAAAAAAACATAATAAAAAATAAGATAGAAATAGTCAAATAAAATTATAAGGAAAAGAAAAAAAGACGTAAAAAATAATAGTAAAATTATAAAAAAAAAATATAGAAAAATAATAAAAAAAATTAAGTAAAATGAAAAAAATAAAATATTATAACACAAGAAATAATACAAAAAAGAAGAAAGAAGATAAAATAAAACAATTAAAAAAAACAACATAATAAAAAATAAAATAAAATTATAAGGAAAAGAAAAAAAGACATAAAAAATAATAGTAAAATTATACAAAAAAATATAGGATATTTAAAAAAAAAATAAGTAAAATGAAAAATAAAATAATATAAGAAAAAATAATAACAAATATATATAAAAAAATATCAACAAAATAGAGCAAAAAAAAGTAAGTAAATTAAAAAAAAATAAAATTATAAAAAAAATAACTAAATAATAAAGTAAAAAAAATAAACATAAAAAAATAAATATTTATATAATAATATATAATATATAAACGATAATGAAAATTTATAAAATAAAAAATTATAATAAAACAAAAATTCAAAGTATAAAAAATTATTAAATAATACAATAAAAGACTATAAAAAATTAATAAAATAATAATAATTATGTTATTAAAAAAATTAAGTGAACAAAAAAAAATATATTATAATGAATAGAAGAAAATGAGAATTAATCAAATAACAATTACATAAATAATAAGAAAAAATAATAAAAAAGATCAAAAATTAAAAATAAAATATAAAAAAATATGTGAATACAAAAAAAATAATATAATATATAATATATGTACAAAAGATAATGGAAATTAATCAAATAAATACTAATAAAAACATATCAAAAATTCAAAATAAAATTATATAAAAAATATAAAAATATTATAAAATGATAAAACACAATAAAAAAATAGTAAAATAAAATAATTAAAAAAATAAAATAATATAATAAATAATTAAAAAATAAGTAAAAATAAAAAATACTTAAATCAAAGTATACAATATTATTAAAAACAAAAATAAGTTAGAAATAAAATAAAATTAAGTAAATAAATTAAAAAAACATAAAAATTAGATATTAAGTAAACACAAAAGAATTATATATGATATTAATTTTATCCCCTCGACACGCCTTTAAAGACCCTATCCTATCGGGACTGAATACATGTTGCGAGAATTCCCAATCGCTTTACGAGGAGAAGTAAAGTTTTTCACATACCAAAATTTCAATTTTTTTATAAAGTAAAAATAGTTGAAATTTTTGGTAAAATAAACTGAAAAAAGGATTTTTTTTTTCGTTTTGTGTGGCATTGCCTGTAAAACAAATAAATATATATGTGCTTACATACATACATATATGCTTCTGCCGGTTTAAAATAAATATATGTAGGTATGTAAAATCTGCTTATTGCGCAATTAAATTTTTTATGTACATACAAATGCACATATAGACAAATGAAATATAAAGTTTAATTTTAGCTTTGCGCACAAATTAATATATTTTGCCATATATCAGCAAAAAACAAAAAAAAAAATTTTCAATAAAAAAAATATTTAATTGCTTTGTAAAACAATAATATTGCTATACACGCAATGTTATCAGTAAATTAAATTTAAATTGTCATTCAATATGTTTGTTTGTGATATATAATATTTAATAACTACAATATATTACATACATATATTTCCAAAAGTCTCAAGTTCAGACAATTCGAGTATATATGTATGTACATATATCAAAAACGCATCAGCATTTTTACAGTAAACGTTTTTGTTCACATTTAAAATGTCTAATTATGACGTATAAATTATTCTATAAAATAATACATACATATAAATATATGTATATACATAAATATGCTATATATAAAATTTATTAAGATTTTAATATGCCTCTTTTCGACGAAATCTTATACCCTCTCATTAATTTCGTAGAATATCTACATATAATAATTTATTTTCTTTGTATTACTCACCTAAATTTGGCACGGTAACGGTAACTTGATTATTGGAGCCGACATCCACAGTAGCTACTTTGCTCTTGTCCACACTTGCGGGCTTAAAGTCATCTAAATGGAAATATAAAATATATGTATAATTAGTTATGTACAAGCACATCGTGTAAATATGTACATGCATATATAATTGCAAGGAAAATGCTAAAAGAAAAAAACTATATAATTTCTTATGGTCAAAGGTAGTTCGGGCACAGGATTTCTAGGTACTCACATTTTATCGTATGAAAGGCGGTCGTTGTTGTTTTCGGATTAAATGTACAGCCGAGCTTTAATTCGCGCACCTCATCGCCTATATTTAGACGTTCAGCCAGCGAACTTTTATGTTTGGTCATCATCATCGTTGTTGAACTAGTAGCGGCCGTGGGAAATTTGTGGTTAGTGTGAGGGATTGCACTTGTTGTTCTATGTGGCGATGATGAGTAATTCGAATAATTGGCACTGGTGTTATTATTATTGTTGGTATTGGTATTGTTGTTGTTGTTGTTGTTATAGTGGGCGTTCTGGTAATTATAATTGGACTGATTTTGCTGTTGTTGTTGATATGAAGTTTTTGTGGATATCGAGTTTGCTGCTGCTGTTGTTGTTGTTTGATAGTTTGGCGATTGAAAACCATGCAAATATGTTGCTTCTCTATCTGCCTGTGTAATGGTTTCGTTTGTCGTTGACGCAAATGCGTGTCCGGCAACTGCACCTCCACCACTTGCACCACTCGTCGTCGTCGTCGCCGCCGCCGCTGCTGCCCACTGACCAGCTCCGCCGCCACTTCGTTGCAATTGTTGTACACCGGCTGTTGTAAATTTACGGCCGCCCGCACCACGACCACTACCTCCTCCACCACCACCACCACCACTATTGTTATTCGCTGTTACTGTGGTCCCAGCCGCTGCGTTGCCTGTACGACTGCGTTTAACGCTACCACCTGCAGCCTTAGCCTTGAGACGTTGTAACGTGGTGGTACCCGATGACTTCGGAATTTTTTCGGTTTATGGTGCAATATAGAATTGCACACACACGTATATATAGAAAATATATATTTATTTTAAATTAAATTTAAACAAAAATCAACAGTTAATTGCACTTTCAGGCGGGGAGTTATAGTGCCCAGCACCTTTTCTATTTTTCAATTTTTCTATTTTTCAAAACAACGGACGATATGCACTGTAGTTAGCACACATTTCAATGTATAAATATTTATGCTAAAATTAGGAAAACAAATCATTGTCAACATATTAATCACTATATGAAGGTTTTTAATTAAATTAGCACATTTATTTTCTTTGTACGCAGTTCATTTCGAATTTCTTTCGATTTCCTCAAAAAAATTAAATTTCCTCGCAGACAGGTATAAGAATATGATTTTGGAATTTTGCAACTCTTTAGTTTGCTTTAACTACGAATTTAAAAAAAAAATTTACTGCTTCTCAAATTTCACAAATCCAAAATATTGCACTCAACCATCGCTATATAATTTCATAAGTTTAATCAAACACGTTTTTTTCTATTGTTGTTATCACTCACACACATATTAAAAAAAAAATAATAAGAACATATGTTTCAGTTCACGTCTTTCGCCTCCGGCTTTCACAGATCAAATAAAAATAACAAGAAAAGAATCTTAGCAACGCAATGCGTACCACACTATAAAAGGCTTGCCACGCCGTTACATTCGCAGCCAACGTCGACATACGGCTGAGCAGAGCACAGCAACAGCGTTGATAGTGAATGTAGCCGCACAGCTGTCGCCAGTGACACCCCCACACATACACAAGCATACGACATATGTTGACCACTTTTCACAGAAAAATTTAAAAGAAAAGAAAAAGGTGATATGGAAAATGTATATAAAAAGAAAATATATGTATGTATATACTGAATGTACGTCACTGCATAGCTATATGCCTACAACTCAACAAAACGCGACCGTCAACGTCATTAGCGACAGCAGTGAATGTAATATGAAAATATACAAGTGAGAGAGTATGACAAAGCGGTAGTAAGGGGTGCACTGTGTTGGCGCTGTTGCTGCCTTTGGCGAAACTGTTGCAATTTTCACTATAATTTTGTAGGTAGGATTTTTTCATAGCCTGACATTTTTTTTGTGTGTGCGTCTGTATTTATGTCGTTACTGCATACTTATACACTAGCGCAGACAATATGCAAACGCCAGATATATAGAAGAAAAAAAAGAAATTGTACGAAAATATGCAGGCGGAGACTTTTTCACACCACACACACACACTAAAAAATTCAAATTCATTTGATTTCATACATTTTTTGGGGTTATTTTCCACGGGGAATTATTATTCGTTGCTTTGTGTCGACGTTTTTGGTTTCGATTTCGACGACGGCGCAACTCGCGACGTTTCAGCGCACCTGCCGCAACAACGACGACAATGAAATTTCACACGTCTACAAAAATGTTTATGAATTTTTCTCACATTCCCAAAATTTTAATTGTTTTTTCGTAAACACTGCACACACGTTATTCCCGACTTTTTAAGCACTTTTTCACTATATGTTGATCAAATAAAAAAATTTTCTCTTTCGATTGATTTCAACGTCGTCGCGCTGTCGTCGTTGTCTCGTCTACGTCTCGTGCATTTTCATCACTTCAATGCTACATCGCCGTTTTTGGCCTTTTCGCCTTGAGTGACTTTTCTCTTTCGTTTGACATTTCTCACTGTCTACTTATTGCCAGCTTCCTTTACGCAGTGTTGCAATGAAGTTGTCAGAATAATTGAGTGTGAAAATAAAAATTTCTAAATATAAATTGATTTTATTTCATTATTTTATATCTTTGTATATATTCGAATAAACTTAATACCAATGCTAAAACTAATTTTAAATACGAAAAAATCAGACTACGATATTATTTGACTTATAAAAGTAATAAACTATAATCCGTCAAACTGTACAGTTTGAATTGCAGTATAAATTAATAAATCATCCTTTGCAAAAAGTCTTTGTTGTTAAATGTTGTTTACTTTACTTTTAAAACACACTACAACAGAAATCCCATGTAAAGCCCACTAATTCTGCGGAAGAAAGATAAAATAAATTTTATAAATTTTTATGTATTTGAAAAGTAAATATCTTGGATGTTGTCACAACGGAAATGAAAATAATTTCATTTCGTAGTTTGAGAGCTGCTGTAATTATTTACCGATTTGTGCAGTAATGTTTGGTTATTGTCTACAATACACAAGACAAGACTTTCAAAATATGTTGGCACTGCTTTATCGACAATCTGAAGCAAACCACATAACTTTCGCCAAAATAGTAAAAAATTCTGAACTGTGCGGGCGAACAATTTTGAGTTCTTTAATTAAAATCGTAAAAAATTTCGAAAATATGTCGCTTTACGGGATGCTGCAGTACCAGTGAGGTACTGCGACTCTTCATTTTTACTCAACAAAAAGTTGAGGCAGAACATGAGAATATTGCCCATTAAGCATTTGGCATCCATCAGCGCCTGCGCTTGAGAAAGTCATTGTGACACAAGAAGCGATAGGATGCAGGTTCCTAGGTTGAAGGCTGTTGTTGTTGTTGTTGCAGCGGATTCGTTGACCCCGTTTAGGGGCAGGTCAACTAATCGAAGGCTGCTACTACCTTGTGGCTTGGTAAGTGTTGTGTTATTAGTAATATGGTTAATATGTATAAACATATGTACATATGTATGTATGTATATTTTAAACATATGGATATGCAAATGTATATATATTTACAAAGTACATAAGGGATGTAGGAAATATTTTAATTGAATAGGCTATAAGTGGTGGAAACAAAGAATCGGAATTATATCTCCATTTCAATATATTCACATTCAGTTCTTTCAATTAAATTATTTATTCCTTCGTAAACAAAGGATGGTTGAGGATACTTTCTTTAAAATACGGCGAAATTGACTTCTCGACTTCATCAGTTTTCATACAGACGGGCACTGGCCGTCTCATCATATAGCAGGACGGACACGATGACCGATTCTACGCTAGATTTGGTAGCAATTTGTTCAAAGAGCAGTAGGGCATTTCTCTTGAACTGTTGGGGAAAAACGAACCATGACGCTCTTGAAAACACTTTCTTCTGGCTTACATTTATAGCATGATTTTTTCGCAAATGGATTTCCGTGAGTATTTTTTTTTAAATCTCGCCTGAAATTGGGTGTAAACGCTTACATATATATATACATATTATATATTTATGTATATGTATTTACGTATGTAAAATGCACCAGTATAAACCACACATACACATTTTTTCCTAATTTTCACAACAAAAATGTCTTCTCACTGAGGCTTCAAGACCACAAACAGCACACCTTGCACTGCTGGCTGATAAAAATCAAAGTGCACACTTGAGAGAATCTTTTCAAAAAATTAGTTTGTGAAAAATCGAGAACAAAAAACAAATTTTTTTCGAAAAGTTATCGATTACATATACATACATACAAATACGGCATTTATTATAAATGCAAGGAGCAAAAAAAAACATTTTTTTTAAAGGAATGCAGTAAGGTCTAGGTAAGAAATAAAAATAATAATAATAATAAGTAAACAATATAAAGAAGAAGCGCAAAAAAGCGGATATTGTAACTACAAAAGTAGAAACTAATTTCACTACCTTTGATAATAATCGCAAAAACAAAAACCAACTGATAGGAAAAGGTTTCCTAAACAATTAAGAACTCTATGATGAACGCCTACTTCATTCATTTGCCAAATCTGCAGATGCATATTCATATATGCGCATATGTATGCATAGCTTAGTAGACGGACTGGCTGGCATTAGAGAAAAAGACATTGCGGCTATGTGACAGGTCAGTAAGATACGCACACAAATATATACATATGTATATGTATTTTATGCATTTCACTGCATTTCCCTTGCTTATTGATCCGATTTTCCTCCGATCATATCATAAACATTATTGTTTGCAAGTACCGCGACGCTGGTGGCAATGTTGGCAGCGGCGGCGGCGGCTTCGGCGCCTCTTTTTGTCTTTCTATCATATTCAACCGATCTCTCTATCGGCTACTGTGGATTATTACTTAGCGCATGCGAAAAGAAAGTGTATCCACTCTATTTCAATGCCGATTTAATTAGTTAATCCTACAAACCGAACCTGCTCTTTCTTTTGTTTCCATGTGCACTTTCGCCTTGAGCCGCTCAGCAACGACGGGAAGTACTAGTTTATCTTTTGTTTGTATGTAAGCGGAAAATTTGTTTGTTTATTTTGCAAGGATTTACGTGTGGTTTGTTGTAAAGTTTATTATAAATATTTTTGTTTTTAACTGAGGCAGGTGTGCCTAATATTACAACATCTCACTAAAGTTCCACGTTTCATTGTGCAATAAGTGCGAACGGAATATTAATTATTGTTGCAATTTTGTGTTTACCACTCTCTGCAAACATTTTCTTTCGAAAAATACTGACTTTAACTCTTCATTGCAGTTTAAACACACTCATTTTCAAGGCACAAATAAAATGATGAGTCATGGCTTATCTGTCAAACAAATAGCAATAACATCTGTAATTTATCGATAAGTTATGTATTTTTATCATTAGGCCTCATCGCCTTCGAAAATCAAAACTCGAAAATGATGTATGTACATATATAAATGTGAGCATAATTTTTAAACATTTCCATTTGATCTTTCGTTATTTCACTAGTTGCTCATTTAATTCAAAGATTTTTATTTCATTTTAATTTAATTTATTTGGATTTATTTTGAATTTATTGAAAAACCATAAATTTTATAACGAAAAAAAAACCAAAACTATTCTAAATGCCCAATTCATGTCTAAAAATACAACAGCAATGATTTATCGCAGCTGAATAATCGATAAATATACACACCTCTCCACCTCCAACCATTTGTCAAGCGATTACCGGCAAATACAAAATGGCGCAGTCCGTTAACAATTGCACGGATGTGAGCTAAAATGGTGAAAAATTATAAAACGAAGTGATTATAAATCAAAATTTTGCAGTAAACAAGATTTACTTAGTTACATATACATACATATGTACGTGCGATAATTTAGCTGCATACAAGTTGATAAAATTTTGCTAAAATGTTGCGGTCGTCACTTCACAACCAGCGATCGTCCTAACACATCAAATTTATGCTTGCGTGGTCAAAGCAGCCTCTGCTGCGAGCACAAGGCAGTGAGAAGGAGGCATGAATTTTGCGCTTGAACGCAATTGCAGGCAAAATAAGCTTGACAGCACTGCTGCGGGAATCGTTTAGCAAGTTGAAACGCTTTATAATGTATTCCCCCTATACATTGGATTATTTTACATACATACGTGTATGTATGTACTATGTGCATGCGTGTGATACTATGTGTCTACGTAAAAGGAGGCGCTGTTATAACTGAGTATGACAGGTTGGAATTGATTTATAGCTGGATGATTGAGGATATTTGTCAGTGAAAATTAATTTTTATTAGTCGCGATAAATCATTGAGCTATTTAAATTGTTTATTAATGAAGTGTACGTGTGAAGTGCAAAAATTAAAAATAAAAAGGAATATTAAAAATAATGAATGTGCTAAACAGTTGCTGTCATAAGTCGAAAAGATGGCAGGTGAATGACATACTGTGTCGGTCACGCATGGACACAATGTAAATATGAAAGGATGAATGAAGTTTGCAATTTAGCAGATGAGTTGTAGGCGATGTGTGTAAATAAGTGCCAGCTTTGCTGTCAGTTGAATGTTCATAGAACAGTTGCATAAATAAAATAAATGTATATACATGGGAACGTGATTTTAAACTACAGAAAAATGAGAATTTGAATTTTTTTAGTACCCCCGAGAAAGACAGCAACTGGTGTCTAAAGTATAAAGGATTTGAATAGCCTATTCCGATAGACAATTTAATTTAACAATACACGCTTCAACAACGCATTAAAATTATTAAAATTTGCTATAAAAATGATGAAAACCCTGCAGAGACAGTTGGTAAAACTAAAACCCTTTTTCGATCGTCATGAAGCACCTTGTCGAACCGCAATACAGAAAACGGTGGTGGTAAAAATGGAGCCGTTGGGACAGATTATTGATGTGAAAAGAGAAAAGAAAACGTACACGTCGCTCAAGAACATCTAAGAATATTGTTGCTGTGGCCCAAAAGGTCTAAGATAAACCAGCTTTGTTCATTCCTCATCGTTCTTTGGAAACTGGGCATTCCACCAACGTCATAACAAAGTATTTTGCCTAAAAACTGGGTCGTTAAGACTTATAAAGTTTAGATAATACAAGAATTCAAGCTAGTCGGTCATCAACAAAGTCGTTTCTTTGCTGATTTGGTTATTGAAATGCATGAAATACATTCAGAATTTCACAGTAAAATCATTTTGCGTAATGAGGCTCAATTCTACGCAATGGCTTAGTTAATAAACAAAAGTTTCGCATGTGCGACTGGAGAAACCCCAGTATTTATTGTTGAGAAGCATTAAACCATACGCAACGTGTAACCGTTTGGTGCTGTTTATGCCCCTGCGGAGTCATTGGACCTCACTTTTTCGAAAATTAAGCTGGAGCAACACTTATGGTGAATGTATTGCGCTATCCAGCGATGAATAATGATTTTTTTATGACCGGAATTTTGAAGATATTGAACTGGACAACGTTAACGAAATCATCGAATTTTTAAGGGAAAAGTTTCCGGACCGTGCTATCTCTCAAAGAAGTAATAGCAGTTGGCCACCGAGATCTTGTGATTTAACACTTTGTGACTTCTTTTTTTGGGGCCACGTGAAAGATAATGTCTACGTCAACAGGCCAACATCGATTCAAGACCGCAAAGATGGTATACGTGAAGCTATTGAGGACAGACAGTAACCACTTTGTGATTTGATGATGGCAAATATAAATATAATAAAATATACATACATCATTTGGCTGATATTGTTTTCCATTATTAATGGCATACCTTCCCCTTTCTCATTGAAATAAAAATACGCTCATTTATATCGAAAAATGTTTTTTTTTTAATATCAAATAACAACTCATATTTTAAACTTTATGTATATTAAAAATAAATAAATTATTAAAAATATAACTGTTGCTGATTAAACTTAAGATTTTCATTTATTCAATTTTACATTTATGTTCTTAACCTTCATTTACTTTAAAACATTACTGAATTTTTTAAATATGGTATCACTTTAATTTATTTCGTTAAAAGTTTCAAATTTTAACGAAGCGTTCATATATGCATTCATATACTTCATTTTAAATTTAGTTTGTACAGAACGTTTGAAGAAAGAAAAACGAAGAGTAAGTCTTTTGAATTGTTAAAATAGTTCTTTATTTAAAATAATTTGATTTTAGATATTAAAACTGTGCTGTTGATTTGAATGTAAAAACTCAATAAACCGCTTGTTTGTAATACTCGTTTATGTTGATATTCTTTCGAACGTTTATTTGCTGCCGCAACAATAACTAAATGCGCATACTTAGCTGATGTAGAAGTTCGCTTGGAAAATTCGCTTGCCATAATCAAAATGCGTGAGCAACTCTGGAACGGTATGAGTTTTCGATAACACAAAGAATGTTCGATTACGATAATTCTAAAGTCACAACGTTGTTTTTCTGTCTTCAAACCACAGCT